TTAATATGTAACACACTGATCATTGTGTCTCATTTCAGAAATACACAATCCACATGACAGTCTTACCTGCTTTCCACATGTCTCTAGATTGTGGGTCGCTTGACTTCAGTACCCAAGATGCAAAAGCAATGCAAACAAGGCACATGTCTGCTTGCTTTAATGAAAAAGGAAAGCGATCTCTCTCTGTAAGCAGAATTTTGCAAAGTTAGACTTGACATTTTCATATGTACTGCATCAATTTGATCTCTAAAAATGTACCTGTGTCTGCGACTGTTGCGACATGTATCTGATGTTCTGTGAATTTTCCAAGGGCCTGGTTTTCTAGGAGAACCACTGGAAGCTTTGGCTGAGCCATAGAGGAACTTGATGTTGTTCTCGTTCCATAACGATAGACTGTGTCAGCTGTTTTGGGAAACACCCAAGAAGTGGCTATCCTACACCATGTCCTTCCCATTAAAAGTTTAGTGTGTCTCAGAGAAAGGTTTCTCCAGGTACTTCTCTGGTTAGTCATAAAGCACATGTTTGTTGTTTCAGAGGGGCTTACACACCTCATAAACCGGATTGCGGGAATCTCATCTTTACTATCCAACTGTATCTCTTCTTCTACCTCTGGAAATTTTAGGTCTTCTACCACTGAATGAGAAGAGGAATAGATAGGAACCAACGTTTTATCACTTTTTGTTGAACCTTGCACTGAAGGAAACAGAAGATTCTCAACCTCAAAGTCTGAGAAGTCATCATAAGTCTCAGCCACAGAGACGCTCTGTGAAAAACAAAGCAAAGTGTTTCTTTCTGGAATCCAAGCCTTGTGTTGTTCTGATTCTGTGTCACACTTCAACATTTCGAAGAGATACGGCAGACACTGATCGTCAAGAAAATCAGAAATCGATAAAACTGGAGAAGGTGTTGGTCTTCTCATGCTATAGTGGTCCAGCAGAAAGGTACTCATGTTGTTGTCTTCTTTGGTTGTTAGAAATATGTCCTGCATCTCTGCTTCTGTCTCTGAATACAGTGGGGAATCACTTTTAGTGCACAGCGTTACGATCTCGTTTGATTCACTTCGCCAAGTTTCTTCTAAATCCATGGGGCATGTAGGTTCAAGAAACCTTTGGGCTTGCTCTTTGCCTTCAAGGGGTTCTGGACTAGGGTTTGCACTTGCATGAAGAAGTTGTAGAAACTCTTCATCGAAATCAGAGTAAGTTGAAAATTCACAGCTCGATCTGTCTGGTTTAGAGTCATCCAAATGTGTGAAATAGTCAGAATCTGCTGCATCGTCTACAAGGCCATCTTCTAAACTATCATCTTTAGATTCCACCTCACCCCTATCAAGATGAGCGTCGACAGTGTCCATTTGGGTCATTTCCTCTGGAACAATGCTTTCTGTTTGTGGAGACTTGTTATTGGCTATTCGAAGTTGCAAAATATCATTTATGGTTAGTTTTTCCATTTCATCCCAAAAGGAGGAAATGGCAAATATTGGTCGAGTTGGACCTGGAGTCTTGGCATTGTTACTGGAGGACTGTATCTCTTGGGACGATTCTTCTCTATTAAATGATTGTCCCAAGGGCTCTTGCTGTTCTTTTCTTTCTCTTGAAATATCTGGTTCAGAGGCACCCATTATAAATCTGGGACTTTCCACTTTAGTGTCATTATTGAAGTGGCTTAAATTATTAGTTGTATGTCTACAATCACAGTTCAAATCTGATGTGGGTTTGTCAAATTTATCACATGCTGTGCTTTCATGATCCCAGTATTGTGGCGAAGGGCCACTGAGATCTTTAAATATTTTCTGTGGCATCTGTTTGTCAGTTAAAAATGAATTTAGAGAGTCGGCAGGATTTCTTTCTAATTTTGCTTCTGGAATTACTGTCATGCTTTCCTTTTTTAAACTGATGGCACAGGTTGGTTTTTCCCATTCACTTTCACTTGACCTAATGGGCGAAATACATATTGCATCTTGGATATGAAGTACATTTGGTGAGTCAGAAATATTTTCTTGTTCAAATTTGTCCTGCATGTCAATAATTTCTTTATCCGGCTCTGTATTGCTATGTAAGGAAGAACACTTCTCCATCACTCCGCTATTCATGGTCAGGGTTTTAGAAGTTTTTTTTTTTCTTCTTTTTTTTTGGACTGAAGTGGGACCCTTTACTCTCAGACGGACTGGGCTGTCATTTACAGTGACAAACCAACGCTCCTTCTCTTTTTTGGCCACTGGTGAAGTGTCCGTCTCCTCAGTTAGCATTTCTATGCCATCCTTACTCTTTTCAAGCTTTATATCTGCTGAAGACATTTCAGAGACTGGCTCTGTGGTGGCTTGGCTTGATTTATTCTCACCATTCTCATGATCCTCATAATTTCCTCTGAATGTCTCTAAATTTAACTTCTCAGTCAGGTTGCTGTCTTCAGCTTTGTTTTGACATTCACATGTAGCCCCCGGTTCATTTTCTCTAGCTTCGGACATCTGCTCAGCAGACCTGGCATTCTGTGGCTCTGTTTTAGGACTAGGATATTCAGTAAACTCTGAATTCTCAGATGTATGTTCTGTTTTACATTCTCCTATTTGATGCTGTTTTTGTCCGTCTACACTATCTTTTTCACAGTGTTGGTGAGAGCTGGTCTTAGTGGGAAGAGATGACACGTAAATGGGGGTTTTATCATCGTCCATGTCACTGAAGCCAGACTCATCTAAGGCTGCAAGTTTGGCCTGCTGAACAGAGCATTCCTCACTCTCTATACAGAAACAGTCCCAATCCTGCTCTGCTAGCAGCACACTGTGGTCTAAGTCATCCATTGCAGTTGAGGTCCAAAGGCTTATGACATCTGAAACAAACAAAAAATACAATTATGCACAGGCTGCATTTCTTTTATCAAAAAAAAATAAAAAAAAATAAATAAATAAATAAAAAAAATGATTCTATTTTAATATATATTTTAAAATGTAATGTATAGCCATTACTCCATTAACCATTAGGAAACCATTGTGCTCCCTCATGAAACTGTTTTATCATTCTTTTAATTAAAAGCTCATAAGAACAGGATACCTGTGCGATAGAACTCTTTCGTAGCACATCTTTGCAGTCACTTTTGATCAATTTAATGCATTCTTGCTGTTGAAAATATGAATTTCTTTTAAAAAAAAACTGACCCCAAAACTTTTGATCTGTATGGTAGTATATTTTATTCAGCTGATCAGTATAGACTGCATCTTTCAATTCAGTCATACAATTAAATATATATATATAAATGAAGAGTTCAGATGCAAAAGCCTCTAAATGCCATTTGAAATTTTCTTCTAAAATGACCATTTTTATCAAGCTTGTATATTTAAGTTCAGTAATTTCACTTAAATGACAATTAATAGGTAATCTTCATTGCCATTTAAGTGAAATCACTGAACTTAAATATACAAGCTCGATAAAAATGATCATTTTAGAAGAAAATTTCAAATGGCACTTAGAGGCTTTTGCATCTGAACTCTTCAAATAAAATTAAATATATATACACAATTAAATACTATATATATATATATATATATATATATATATATTATATAATTAAATATAATATATATATATATATATATATATATTTATATATATATATACGCTCAAACTGTCTCTAATATCCCAGTGAGGATGATCTTGGCCTGACTGTAAGCTGACTCCAGAGCATACTGTAACCAAAGCATTCACAACAACTCACTGCAAGGTGATTTGTGGGTTAAAATATGTCAGTGACAGGAAATAAGAGTCCCATAAAACACCCCAGCATGATGTTCTGTTTGGGTTGATTCTCTTCTACAAACATTTTGCATGCTCCAATTGCTCAGAAATCATCTAGATGTGTCTCTTTATGTCGAGAATGAAGATCACAATTTACAACCTTTAATAAGAAATCTTACTAATCTAGCTTGCTGGCCATTTCTTTTTTACAAACGCGTGGAGATGCATTTAGCATACAGCAAATGCATTCAGCTGTGCTTATTTTCCATTTTTTTCTACATTTTTAAAGAAGATATAATTTCCCTGGAGCATCATAACTGTTGTGCAAAAGCCTAGAAAAATGATCATTATTATTGTTAGATACAGCCATCATCTTGAACTGTGTGTTTAGTTCTTTATTAGCATATTAATAGCTAAAGCCCTGTGCTTGAGGTTATTTTACATCGTGTGCATGCTCAAGTGGTTCATTTTAGTACAGTAGCACTAGTACACACACATCAATGGAAAATATCTCCAAACACAAAATCTCCTCTTAGAAAAGTTTCAGAACTGCAAACTCTGCATCTAGTCAGTTTCCAATAAACATCTGTTTTCCTACCTTTAGTCGTAAGTTGTGCTTTCGAAACACTTTAGTGTTGATCCGACACTGGCATGGCATACCTTCAAAACTCCAGTGCCCTTGGATGTGGGAGAGAGAGGGGCCCTGTGTCCAGGTCTGTTAAAAATAGCTGTGTGTCTGATCACATGAAAGTGTGTGTGTCCTGCATTCTCAGTGGGGCATTCCATTTCACATGTATAAATAGCAGGGAGATGGCACGAATCGGTCACTGATCAAATGCTTCTATTCAACAAAGGGTTAAAGCATTGAACAATGTGCTGGAAGGAAGATCCTTTGCTTTTATGGTTTAGAGGAAGTAATGCTGTGAAAACAAGTTTCTATCAATCTCAACTTATCTATGGTAATAAAAGACTGGCAGTGTCCTACTTTACTACTGTGAATATATTTCAAGTTAAAAAAAAATAGAAGTACATCAAAGACAAAAGGAAAATAGGCGATATTTAATTTGTAATAAATATTAATTTATTTTAAATTTTACAAATGATTACTGAAAAATCTAGTGTGTAAAATATTACAGCCATTTAAAAAGTAATTTGTTAATTTACATGCTTAGAATAATTTTCAAAAATATCAATAATTTTGCAAATGAGAGCATATAAAAATATAAAAAGTTGAAAAAGTTAAAAAATTGCAGACTTATTATTTTACAGAATGTGCAAGAGCTTCTAAAGGGTTCCATACTACAGCAAATCAATCCTGCAATCATGATCCTATACGTGTAAATCATAACAGTGTTTATTTTGTTCATCTGTCTTAAAGACAGAAAATAATTAAATATTTACAGTGGTATTTAGGGAGCTGTGATGTGACAATGACATTTCAAGCAACAAATATTCAGTTAAGATAGTAGAACTTTAACCAATACAGTTTTATTGACATGAAGCTGTAAATGTTGTGTTTGTGTTTTGGCCTCTGTGTTTTGGTCACGTTTTAGACGGAAGCCAACACCACCTGAATGTCTTCTGTTCAAAATTCTCGTGTGCGCCTGCGCTTGTCTTAGGAACCCTCTGTAGGTCTGGGAGATGCGAGAGTAGTTGGATTCACAGGTTGTTCAAAGAAGCACTCTGACATTGAGCCTGAGATGATAACGCACTGGAGGGGCCAGAGTATAACAAAGAAGATTACGAGGAGCACTATGATGAAGACCACAAGCCTCTTCCAGTTTCCATGAAAACCTAAGAATCGCAGCAACCTCTGTCCACAACCCTCTCTTCTCTCCTCGCTCCTCGATGGCTCCTCTGCTTTATGCTCACCAATGTCAATGCAGATACAGTTAGGTATCATTGGGTTTGAGTAGCACAGCCTCTTTCCATCTAGGAAAACGTTCTCCACTCTTTGCTGGTCGCTTGGAAGTTGACCCAAAACTTCCTGGCTGGTGGCCAGATCCGGAGTACCGTGCTCAGGCACGGACGTTGGCTGCCGACAAAGGGGGCAGGTGATCTGGGTGCCTGCCTGCTCCGGTGAAATAGCTACAAAGCGAGCCAGACATTCCAGACAGAAGGTATGGGTGCATTCAAGAAGCTTCGGTGTCTTGAAGGTGTTGTTGTATGCGGAAAAGCAGATTGAACATTCCGGATCAACATCCCAGGCATTGTCCTCGTCATCAGCAGAGGCCACTGTCTCGTGTTGGTGCCGTATTGAACCCATACGTGTTGCTGTGGATACTTCTGGTTCCTCCTGTTGTGTGCTCAGAAGAAAATCTGAAATGCAACAGGAATAGTTATATAATTATTAATCGTAATTCATTGCTTAAAAGATACAGATGCAGTCCTGAATTAAGCTTTATGCTTTGTTTCTGGGGCAGAGTTTCTGTTGGCCGGTGATAGTAATATCTTAATGTGATTCTCTGGTTCAAATAAATTGGTTAAAATACATTTTAATACATTTAAAACTATTTAGGCCTTAATTTAAAATGTATGTATTTGAATTGCATATAAATATTCCATCCATTTGCATTACACATTTTAGCATAAACAAACTTATAAACTTAAATGTGTGAGTCATACATTCATAAAAAGAGTAATATTCCTGTAATAGTAAAACAAATGTTTTAAATGCACAATAATCCCATTTATAAATGCATCATCTAAAATTAATTTTGAAAATTAAGTAGCAAGTAACAATATGTAAATGTGGTATCTATAAGGGCATCATTACTGTAGTGCTGAATATATAAATTTCCTCTTTGTGACAAATAAATCATCATCATCATATGATAAAGACGATGCTAGACAAACCATGCAAAGGTCTAAAACCAATCATGAAAAAAATGCATTTTGAATCATGTTTCAGACAAGTACAATCACCATGCATGTAATTTTACACTATTATCAGCATCATCTGTTCATCACTTGTTTTACATTTAATGTACTATGACTAGACAAAGTATAAACATCTCTAATTTGTAATTAAAATGCCCTTAACCTAAAATGACCTAAGGCTTGTTCAAAAAACAAAACAATCACCTTAAAAGAGAAGACAGTATTATTCTCTTGCTGATGCTTTCTTCTTTTTCTTCTTCTTCTAGATTCAAAATTGACTGAAAAGTTACCAAAACAAATCTTTCAATGCCCGTCTTCCTCCAGACCTGTCCGTCTTGGTCTTCCGGTAAAGTACAACTGGTCTCACCTTCTCTTCAGAAGTTTGAATTATACTTCTGAGCTGTGACTCAAGTGAGTTAAACCATAAATCATTACCTTGTTTTCTCTCTCTCTCTGTCTGAACCCCAACACACACACACCCACACCAACCCATACACGTCTACGTGTGCAAATTATGGAAAAGCAGGAGGGATGACAAAGAGAGGGAAGTAGGAACAGGTTTTTCCGATAGGATTAGGTTTCACACTGTCATCGAATACCTTAGTTAACATAAGAATGACAAAGCATAGTAAGTGACTAAGGTTTAACAGTAACACAAATGATAAAGCACATTATTTAATTCACAGTGTTGTAAATTATTACAATATTAATAGTTTTATCTGGAGAGACAAATTAGACAGGTTCTGCAACTGCATATTTGTATTTGATCACTTACAAATTGTATTAATGTCATTTTTAACATATATTATCGAAATACCTTTTGTAGAAAAACTACAGCATTCTGCAAGTTTACCGTCATTATTCATCTGGTTCAACAAAAACAATGCTTATGGTAACTGATAAGACATCACACGTGCATAATAAAACCAGAAATTGGCTGTAAATCTGAAACGTTTTCAAAGTCACATGACTGTTGAACGATCAAATGTGTTACCCCTTCTATATCGCTTGGAGATAATCAGCCAGGTATGAGGAAAAATAACTGGGATATGTTTACATGTTCAACAAAAGTCCCATTTTTTCACACAAGTCTCGCTGAGGGTGTGTGTACAGTTCATGTTGTGTATATTTTACATGGTGGTGTGTGCCAGCTATTGTTATGCTTTAAACAATCCCATAGTATTGTATTAAATAGTGATGACGAACATCACATAGTGGATTGCGGAAAGACAGTGACGTGGTACTTGCTCCGTTTTGATCTAGTGTTCTTATAAGGAAGTGCTTTTAAATATTATAGATAAATGGGATCAAAGTCTCCCCATCTGTTTACCCAAGAAGGCACATGTAAACAGTTGACCGGTCACTTTCAGATGAGTGTTTTTTCGATCACAATAGTAGTTAGGTTTGATTATCCAACCTAATATTCTACCATTTTAATAACTACTCTACAGATGATAACACAATGATAGCATTGGCCAGACATTCAAATACTTTAAAAAAGAGATTTATAACCACCACTCCCAACCTTCCTCTACATATTCCCAGAACTTACACAGCAAATGACTCTTTGATGATTAACACCATCCGCCACTTGGATTGTTTGTTTTGTGCACAGTGGCTCTTTGCAAGAACTATTAAATTATATTCCGCTCTGATGACATAAAGTAAATAAATGACATTTTTTCTCTCATAAATCAAAATATCTTTTATTTCTGTAAACACTGAAATCTTCATCAAATATTATTCAGTTTGTGATCAATACTCTATTAGGACATACAAAAAAAGTTAATCAACAGCATCAATCGCACCAAAATATACTGACATGCTTTCCAGTTGCTGCACAACAGCCAATAAAATGACATGAGAAATAAGTTGAATTTAAGTGGTTATTTTCTAAAATCAGAATCACTGATGTAATCCCCATGAAAGCACGACATTTAACTTTACATCAAGTAAACATTCCTCACTTTTCCTTAATCCAGCATACTGAAGATTTTACAAAACAACAATGTTCAAATACCCCTTAGAAATAGAAAAGATGTAGAAAAAAAATCAAACATAATTCTTTAAATAAACAGAACCATTATTACAAATTAAAAAACTAAAAACAACACAGAAAATCATACATATATAGGCATAGGGGATGATATGGCTTACTAAAAGGCCACTATTTCCAATAAACACTTTTTAAAGTAAAGTTAAAAAAGTAACTGACTGCTCCAGCCCTTTCATACAAATACCAATGTATCACTCTCTCTTATGACACTACGAAATTATGAAGCATTTAGATTGTTTTTCAACCAAGTTCTTTCATACTTTTACATTCTAATTTTGTATAAAATGTACAAAATCAAAAATGGTAACTTCATCCATTAGCACATTCACTTAATGGCACTTTATCTTTTACAGTGGGAAAAAGGAATAAATGAGAAATCAATGTTTTAGTTAACTCCTTGTTTGGCAACAGTTTTTAACAACAATTTTAATTATATATTGTGTATTTGCAAATTTGAATGTACCGTTATAACTCAAACTTCTTTGGTGCAAGCCAGAACATTTTATGTTTAACATAGCGAGGAATGTGCTATTGTTAGCAATTTGACATTTCATGCACACATGTTAGTATAACATGAATATGCTGTTAACACAGAAACCCAAGCCTAAAGTATTTTCAATGATCACAGAGGGTATTTCCAGCAAATGTACAGTATATACCATCAATAAGTGCAGTTGAGACTGTAAAGGATTAATAGAAAATATAATATTTGAGTGTACAGGAGCCAAACACTAAAATGGTTTTAACCAAATGGTAAATATATGCTAATGCCTATTTATTTATGAGGTTTGAGGAGTTGATTGTGTGCGAGTATGACTAATTGCGGAAGTCTTGTTTTGGAGCCTAGTTACAATGTCACAAGATTCAAAAGTACAATATCACACAAACATACAGGTAATAAATATAAACAGTACAAAATTCATTGAGAAAACAACTTGATTGACTGAATTATAGCTGAACAATAAAAAATACTCTAGTAGTGCAACACCTGGACTTTTAAAAGGAAAGAAAGAAAGAAAGAAAGAAAGAAAGAAAGAAAGAAAGAAAGAAAGAATTGTGTGAAAAATATATAAATAAAAATAAATATCTGTAAAAGATGATCTAAAAAAAGTTTTCCAAAATAAAAGCCTACATCAAGAACATGGATGCCTTGTGTAGCCTACATAACTTTAAGGAAAGTTTCACCAAAAAAAGTTAACAATCCCATAAGGAAACTGTGCTATAGGACAGGTTCATATTTTGAAATGGGGCTTACAGATGGCCCTTGGAGGCTGCTCACACATTGTATACCTTGGTTACTGCCCCTGTTGCCACAGTAGCACTGTTGGATGCTGATGTTGCTGAAGGCCTCTCCCTCCTGACATATCTTGGCTTGCGAACTGCAGACAATAAAAAAGAAGAAGAGTCACATTCATTCTATATACTAAACAGAGCATGCTGCTTTTAATTCAGTTTGTTTCAATTAATCAGATATTCCCAATAGATGTTTTGCCAATGAAATTTAGCACAGTTGGAACTAGGATAGACCACCTCTTTAGAACTTGATAATTCAAAATACAGATTAAGTGGTGACAATTTCAAATACCTGAAGATGTAGCTTCAGGAATCATGACAGCCTTGGAAGAAAATATGAACAAGTTAGTAATTTGGTATCCATTGTTAAGCTACAGTTATATTTAAAGCAGTGTTTGTCTTTGATAACATAAAAGTTTATTTTTTTGACAAAAACAAATGGATTTTGAGTAGATTATCTTACCGTCTCACTTGGTTGGAATATAAAAGCTGATAAAGGAAAAGTACAAAAAAAAAAAAATCATCTTGAATAAGTGAAACTCCAAAACACTACCAATAATAATAATAATAATAATAATAATAATATAAATAACATAATAATAATAATTAAATAAATAAAATATTAAACTATGAACCTTAATTCAAACTTAAAAGAAGCTGTCACTAACAAAACTGATCCTATGTAAAAAACAAAACAAAAAAAACATTGAAAACTGATTTACACATTTATGACCTTTAAGATTTTTTTTGTTTTTACCCTTATTGCGCCTGTAGAAGACTCCAGGGAGGCGGTTGGAACGCTTAAGGTAAAAGAAAGATGCAACCGAGAGGATGAGGCCCAGGCTGATCAGTAGAGTTCCTAGAAGGACAGAAGCCGCTACAGCCGGGCCACCTGCCATTATAAAGCAAAGGATGAAATTAAAGTTCCGTACTACGGAGCCCCGCATATGACATGCGGGAAAACATTTACAAATCAAATATGTCAGCATGTTTTACTAATTCGTTCACTCCTTTTGAGTAAACAGTGTGCACAATATAATAATTTGTTCCCTTGATTTAGTAAATCATGGCCACGTTGTACTAATTTGATTTGATTGAACTAAATCAAGGGAACAAATTATTATACCGTGCACACTATTTAATCAAAAGGAGTGAACAAATTGTTATAGCTTTTTAATTCTTAATTCAGGTCCACGATATTCATATTTTTGTCTGCATCATGTCCTATGCAGGACTCCTTTCAAATCAATATCAATATACAAAAATAAATTAGGTTTTGAAGCAGTTTTTTTGAAGCAGTACTATTATTAAATAATGATAATAACTTACCAATCATTTTGATTAATGCTCCTGGAAAGTGACTAATCCTTGCTAGAGGGAGAGTAGAAAACACAATGAAGTAAATAAAAAGATAAACAATAATATAATAAATAAAGAGCACATCTAAGAGTTAAAAAAAAACAGTAGGTAAACATAACTCCTAGAGTCAAATGATTCCCAAATTGTAGCTTTAACATTTCAATGAAACATGATGCATGAAGAAAAATCCACATTAAGAAATCTTCTAGACAATGTATCTTTTCTTTAATGTCTATGGCATCGAACTTACTATTGTTAAATGAAGTTGAATTCCCCTGTTCAGCTGAGTCACAGGACACACAAAATGTACTGTTCTCCTGAACTTGAAGGAGCCCTAGAGGAGGATCCAAATGCACTATCAATAGTATGAAAATGTTCCTATTGCCTATCAAATTCCACAGAACTAGTTACACACAAAGTATGCAAAGAAAAATGTGCTCAGGTTTGTTTACAAGGCACATTCCTTTCCATCTCCGTTTCAATGTTTATAAAAATTATTCACAATTTGAAAATTAAAATTACATTTGAAACATACCAGGATTACAGAGTGAAATATTTGCACATGTTTCATTCATCCTCTTTATTCTTTCACAACAGTCATTGGAGTTTTCTAGCAGAGCCTGAAACACATGAAAAACCACAATTACAGGTCAAGAATGGAATTGGTCTTAGTTTCAGTCCTAGAACATATGAATACATTGGTTACTGTCATTCCAGTAGTTATTATACGCTCTCTCACATACTGAGAGTTGTGAGAAATTATTCCAAAGATTCCTAAAGAGAAAAGACAAGGGATACCTCGTTTCTGGAATTTCTAACACAAAAAGAGCATCACTGATGATTTAGTAGACTATTTGTGATGACTCCTGTGGGTTAGAAGGAGTCAAAATGGATCTGAAGCCCATTATGTTTATGCTCTAAAATACCCAAATTTGCGTTTTTGTTTAATTTAACGTGCCATTTTGAATATTTAATAAATGCAGGGTCGTGTCAACCTCAAGATTGACCCATCAAGTTTTCTAAGGACGTCAACTCATCTAACGAGCCGTCTAATCATAGCGTCTAATTCTACACTGATGATTCAAATGTCGTTTTTGGTGGGTGGTTTTATAATCTCTAAACAATGCCATTTTAGCACCACATAAAAGACACAAGACATAAAACAGATTTTTGTGATAATAAGCTCGAGAACTTACCTGTGAAACGCAAGTTTCAGAAATGTCAGAAATCTGTTGTCAACGAGAGTTTAACTTACTTCCTGCTTAATAAACTGCACTGCCAAAATACAAGTCTTTCACTGTTTGTTATAGCTTTGCAATTAGATTAGCTTTAATTAGACCACCATTATTAGAATTTTTTATTACTAATTTATGTTCATGTTGTGATGCGAATAACATTTATTAACTAAACATCCTAGAGCGAAACAGATCAGTCAATGCTATTGTAATATTAGAGGTTTTGCTGGTATTTATTTTCTCCTCCGTCAGTGTTTTTAATTAATAAGTTATTAATATGAACATAATGTGAAATTAAATTAAATATCATAGTTACTTTGCATTTTCTAAGATTTGTGGCTTTTATTATGGAGACAAGACACGAGAACGTTGTTTTGGTTGCTATGATACATTTTTTTCACCGCACTATGTTTTTTAAAGTCGCAGGCATACAACCAGCAGTTTACATGGCAACATAATATATATATATGAAGAGTAGATGCAAAAGCCTCTAAATGCCATTTGAAATTTTCTTTTTTAATGATGATTTTTATCAAGCTTGTATATTTAAGTTCAGTAATTTCACTTAAATGGCAATGATAATTACCTATTAATTGTTATTTAAGTGAAATTACTGAACTTAAATATACAAGTTTGATAAAAATCATCATTAAAGAAGAAAATTTCAAATGGCATTTAGAGGCTTTTGCATCTGAACTCTTCATATATATATATATATATATATATATATATATATATATATATATATATATATATATATATATATATATATATATATATATATATATATATATAACAATACACAAGTGTTCAAATAATGATAATAGAGAATAGAGTTCAGATGCAATAGCCTCTAAATGCCATTTGAAATTTTCTTCTAAAATGACCATTTTTATCAAGCTTGTATATTTAAGTTCAGTAATTTCACTTAAATGACAATTAATAAGTAATCTTCATTGCCATTTAAGTGAAATTACTGAACTTAAATATTATATACAAGCTTGATAAAAATGATCATTTTAGAAGAAAATTTCAAATGGCATTTAGAGGCTTTTGCATCTGAACTCTTCATATATACAGTATATATATATATATATATATATATATATATATATTATTTAAGCACTGATATTGTAAGGGGAAATTACAACTCACATTATAAGTACTTAAATAGTGCCACCTAGCGATCGCAATCAGCCAGGCTATGATTAAAGGGACTGTAGGTGAAGTCAGAGATTAGTTAGTGTACTGTTGGCTGCATGAACTGTTTGAATTCCGTAGCCCGGGAAAACCTCAGCAGCAGTCTGTAGTAAATGTCACGGACAACACAAAGCCTCATCAATCCTTAACGGTCAGCGCCAACGACCGGCAAACATTATTTATGTTGCCTCAGAATCATTACTGCATATCAAAGTCATTTTCTGGTAAGTCACATTTCTTTCAAATGAACAAACTAAACAGTTGTTTTTTTGCTAATTTATAATGAAAACACAGCTTTGATGACGGCAGCCGTACGGCTCCCGCGCAAACAGTATTATGACACTGATAAATTCAAGAGTATTTTCATAAACATTTTTAGATCTTGAAAACCTGGATATGAAGCCCAATGTCTGGAATATTAAGGAGATGTTGAACATCCCCGCAACTTCTGGGTATGTCTGATACCTAAATTATGTAACTTAGCTACTAACTAGAGGATTTGTCAGCTAACTTTTACTGTCATTTACACTGTTACCCAAACTTTTACCTTGAAAGGGGACATTATACTCTCGTTTTTATATTGATGTTTAGTCAGAATTATGTTTGTTATAGAGGGATAAAACCCGGTAAGGGTCCAACCAGTGACTACTCCAGCCTGACTGACTCTCAGTTTCTGTTGGGCTCTCAAATGTGGCCTGACAATTCACAAGGGTTTACTCAGGAGATGAGTGGACAGAGCAGAGGTTCACAGCATACATCACAGGAGGTAAATATATCGGGCATAAACTGTGTTTATTTGTACAGTAGAACATGCCATGTTTTATCTAATGTAATATGATGAACATATTCTTGATTGTTTCATTTTTAGGTCCACAAACCTTTCATAAATAACAATTATTGTGACAGGTTGTTGTAAAGGAGAAGTCTAGAAAATATTTTAAAGCTCCAGACGGTCTGTAATTATTTTGGGTTAAAATGAATCAAAATAAAATTTTGTACATAACCAGCCAGTGTTTAAAACTATCTGCTTGCCTTAGCTCGATTCAAAATGATGGGCTGGTAATAATGTTATTAATTCCAGTTGTACTGGTGGATGTACTGCATGTCTTTGCGTCATTATGTACACATAAAAAAGGTGTCTCGGCTAGTAGGCTATATTGTGTGTGAAGATGTTCGGGACGAAGATTTACAGCCTTTTCTCACAGCACTTGATATAATTAAACTTAATTAATTTGATGGCCGATCCAGAAAGATTCAAACGACAATCACCGGTGACAATTGGAGACTCACCCGATGTAAAATGCAGAAGACTTTGGACTTCGGAGTGGCTACAGAAACTTGGCTCATGTGAAAACAAGGATAAATATCTGATGGGCATTAAATGTAGTCAGTCACGCACAATTTGAGAACAAAGTATAATTTGCACGGTTTGACGTGATATGATAAGCGATCGTTAGATTTAATCAATCAATGCAATGCTTTTTTCCCTTAGTTGGTCAGAACAAAAGTGGATGTTACCTACTTGTTCAGGTGACATTTTCCGGTGAAAATTCTTATGTTGGTCATACTTCCAAAAGTACTGTGATTGCGAATGACAGTATCCACAGCGGCGCGGTGACTGACAGCTGCACATTCTCCTCAAAACATTGGATTCATGAGCGCTGTGCCGTGTCGAGGCACAACCCACGTAAAGTTAAAAATTCCGCGAATAACTGCAATTTCAGATTTCAAACAGAGATGGTGACAAAGAGGAAAAACTAGGAACTACAGCTCTAAATTTCATAATTCCAAATTGTCTTAATCCTCTACAGATGAAGGAAATGATGGTGTCCAGCAGTTATAGTTCTAAGCCGCTTTTGTTTGGCGGTGATGGCAAAATCCTAAACTTCACTGGTGGCAAATCTGTTGGCATGTTGGACAGATTTGAAGAGGAGAAGCGAAAATCCAAAGAAAAATATGAAAGGTAATTTGTCTATCCTTGATTCTTGCTCAATAATAATAAACTATTCTAACTGTACTGATGTCTTTTTAAAGTTCTGTAATGCTATTTTTTACTTTTAGCTTTGGTTCTGTCATGACATATTGTTATACAACTTTTTCACTTTTTAGGGAAATTCTCACTAATGGAATTCTACAATTGCAGGAAACTCTGGGAAATGTGAGTATTTTTCTTGAGGCATATACATGTTTAACACATTTGGAATATTTTTACTGCACATATTCACGGTTTCAATATTACTTGACTATTACTTGAGTATTACTTGACGTTGACCTACCTTTTCCCTTTTAGACCAGAGAGACTTTATTAAATTGCATTAATGGAAGTAGTGACAGCACCAGAAAAGTTTTAGTGGAGAGAATGGATAATTTTTCAAAAACAAGTACGTTCTTGTTTGTACATTTTCTTATAACTGTATGCAAATGGTTCTTAACAATTAGCTCATGATGACAACCACAGCTTTCTACAAATAACACTACCATTAAAGTGTTATTTGTTATTTAAACCATTAAAAATACAGTAATTTTTATGTGAGGTATATAAATATATAGTATATTTATATATTTTAATATATTTCATGTAGTAGATGTTATTTATTTATAACTAATGACATTATGTTGTCCATTGCAGTTGAAGATTATTTAAACAGTGTGAAAGAGGGTATAACATGTCAGTTTGAGACTCTGCAGAGCCAAACACAAATAGAAATGGCGGACAGGGAAGCCAAGGTAAGGACTGCATATATAACCTGTCCTAGACAATCGATGTAAAGCTATTGTTAATATACTCTATATTGACATTTCTAATAAAGCCACATTTATTTTCTATTAAAATAGAGCAGTCTGGCTGCAAAAGAGTTGAGCTCAAACATACTTAACCTCCATCGGGATCTGGAGCATCTAAAAGTAGAGCAGAGCAAGGAGCAGGGCATGCTGGGAAATATTCTGTCTCAGCTTAGCACTTTAATTTCTACTCACAAGCCAACAGCAGGGCCTAGCTCTGCCAGAATGATTGACAGTGAGGTCCAGACATCACCTGGTCTGTTAAAGAGGTTCTGTGTCATGTCAACTGAAAAACACCAAGAGAGCAAGATGATGTGCAACAGGCCTGTCATTTATTCAGGAGAAGCAGTAGAACAGAACCAGTGTCTACTTACCACACAGAAGACACAAAACAGAAATGCACATGCTCTGCCTGTAAAAAGACAGCAGACAGCAGTCACAGAGGAGGTTTCCCCTGATGCTTCACAGAGATCTTGGTGTACACAGTTAGTTGAGACCAGACCTTCAAGCCCACTTGTGGATGCTCAATTCACTGCATCCATAGTTGACCAAGAAGAACAGTATGTAGATAGACACCTGGTGCCTGAAAAACCATTGAACAGATTGGGCACTGATGCAATGCCACCCCTGAAATTACCTAGGAGGCACCAAAAAGCCCTGAATTATAGACGGGGAAAGAGAGCACTGGTTCTCCCACAAAGACAACCAATGAGAAAAAAAGGAGCAATGAAGTTTTCAAATGACAGTCTGGAGAGTAAAGACCTTCAGTGTGAGCAAAAAGACAAAGTGCCTTTGTCTTCTCTTTGTGACAACTGGAAAGTGACCAACAAATCTGTTGCAGAGAATCACTTAAAACTACAGCAGCAAGCCACTGTAGCACCAGTTAGTAGGTGTGTAGCTGAGCAACCACTAAACCCCTTCAGTTTGTGGTCTGAGGACACAGACAGTTCCCAAATGATAGTGGATTACAAGATGGCTGAGTGGGAAAAAGTGGTGCCTGAACCTAAAGCTAGTGTGATAGAAGAAGGTGGCCTGTGGCAGCTCTTTGACATTACTGATGACTCAGAATAAAATGCAGGATACTCCCATACTGTATGCCTATTACATTTACATTTGAGAAATTATTTAGAGAATCTTCTATGTTCAGGTTTTTTTTTTTACTAAGAACTTGAAATTGCCTGTAAACATGTGAACCTTGTTCTCGAACCTCATTTCTTTCTATAGACATTATCTGTTTGTTTTCTGTTGTTTGAACATTGGCACACATGGATATTATAAAAATCTTTCTTATAAAAGACAGTTTGGCAGACTTTACTGCCTCTAAAAGTATTGTTCTATTTTACTTGTACCATATGACTCTAAAGCAATAACATTCAAGCACTTTCTGTAATTTCATATTCTTTTTTGCAAATCATATTCCAGAAATTTGTTTTGGCCTTTTTTTTAAAGATATTTTAGACAACCTCTGTAACTTTAACAGGTAAAATATAGTTAAAAATATATTCGGTTTTGTTTGCAGTTGAAACGTGACAGATTTAGCTGTTGTTAAGTTTGACTGATTAATATATGTTTAGTAAATTGCATCGACTGCTTAAAGTTACAGTACATATACTATATTGTGCAACTCTATGCTATACATTTTTATTATGCAAGTGAAGTAAAATCATTTTAAGTTTCTCGGAGTGTTACTTTATTTTGAACTGTAAACTATTTGAGTTTTTCATCTTATCATTTGACACATATCTTAATACATACTATACCTCAACTGTCTAAAATCTAAAAATGTCGACAACAACAAAATCACTAAAGCACTCGCAGAATTATAAATTAAAATAGTTTGAAGTAAAAATGTATATCTTTTCATGAAAGCCCTACTCCCTATATCTACAGTTTTCTCAAAATTATGCAATTTATATTATTCACATGACAGACGAGGAATTATGTCATGTGAATAATATAAACTGCATAATATTTCATGAGAAATCATTTTTGGAGAGATTGTTGTCATTCCTCTACCAAGTCAGCAGGAGGGGGTATGAGTCCGCGAGGGTTCAGATTTGCCACCAAACAGACATCGTAACTGTCATGCATCAGAGCCTGCTTTGCCACCACAGTCCATACATTTTCCCAGGGATCCAACTGGAGGATGTCTTTAGTGATGGTGTCATGACGATCTTGGGAAAGAGTGAAGTACTTACAATGTTGTCTATTTTGAATGGCCACAGAGAATTACATGGATTCAACTGTTCAAGGCTAAACTAATGCCACATTTACACTGCAAAGGTGGGACCAAAGTGCTTCTGTTCAGAGGTAGCATAAATGCATTTACACAACGATTTTAACTGATATTGATAGTACAGTATATTTAAATATTTACCTGCTCCTTTGTAGTATCCACAGACATAAAGTTTTCCATCAACAACTCCAGCATTTGATGCATTGCTGCGAAGTGATAGGAGAGACCATGGTAAAGAAGGACCATCCCTCCAGAAATCGCCATCAGGGTTGTAGATCTCTACTACATTAAGGCAGTGACGTGACTGGCCGCGATCCACACCTTCACACCCAATTCCACCTGCAGAAGGAGACCCTGAAGCTCATTCTACAGTATAGTATAATCTTTGTAATTCTATAGATGATGCCTAGCTTTACTTTTTAATAAAGTAAGTTGTCATATTTCAGTCATCCTGTTGACATTCTCACCCAGTACATAGATTTCCCCATTGAGTGCTACTGCGCTGCAACGGTATTTTGAATATTTCATAGGGCCAAGTTCACTCCACTTGTTGTTCTCGGGGTCATATTCAAGCAGACGATTACTCATACGGTCAGGCTCGTCATCTGTGCGGTATGACTGCCATTCATGAGACGTGGCAGAACAGGTGCATTAGAGGGAAAGAGAGAAGGCAATAAATACACAGTTACTGTGCTCCCCCACTTGGTTTTATTTTCCAAATTATAGTGATTTATTGTGATTTCACTACACAGCCTCCATTCTCCTTTATAAAGATGCCATATTTCCAATATTTTGATATATTACCTGTGGAGTCCGTCCCCCAAGCACATAAAGGCGACCCTTTATACGAACTACACTGTGATAGGCAAGGGGCATGGGCAGTGGGGCACCACTTCGCCATGGCCCACCCTGTAGAGACCAGCGCTCAACACTGTTGGTGATGAGGTACTGGTTCTTCAGCTTCATCTGACCTCCAATCAGATACAGGTTGTCTCCCAAAGAGCTCAATGCATAAGAGTCACGATACTCTGCTGAGCTCAAGTGTTTCCAGGATCCTTGGGCTTCCTTGTTGTACCTGAAAAACACAAAGCAAACATTAGATTTTTGAACTCTATGCTTTACTCTCTGTATCATTTAAATTTTAATTTTAAGAGCTCTAATAAACAAACACATTAGTTTACAGTTTTGCTTTATACAGTATATTTGATGTTGAAAACATGGGAGTATTACTGTCATTTTCTCCTGCAGAAGCCTCACATGAAAATCTCGACGTTTCTGTCTTTCTGCCTCGCCATCCTTCTGGCTCCCAGCTCCCCTGCCACAACAATTTCATTCCTCTCAGTTACCACTCCAGCATAGACATATCCAAGCGCATCACCATATCGTGGGGAGGTGATAAAAAGAGTCCGCCCGGTGTTGGGAGCATAACAAAAGCTGCGCTCGGTGTAGCTTCCATAACGTGAGCGTATCCCTCCGCCGTCATTACCAATGCAGAGCAGGAGGTCTGTGGTCTCCATACCGTAGCGCAGCTTCAGTCGGCGGGGTGGAGCATCTGAATCCAAGCTTGCGGTTTCAATCGCCTCTTCCATTATCTGAAGACATTCGGCATCAGCTAGCAGTGCTGTGTTCCTTTTCATCGTCCCCTTCAAGTAATCCACACCCACCAGTGGAAGACGTACCTTCTTTAAGAGTTCTGGGAGGTGCCTGGCCCGGTTCTCTTTCACTGACCCTACACCCCCCGGACTGTACTTCACCCAGCGCATCACCACATCCAAAATGCTCTCTTCCCGTGAAATATTGAGGTCATCTGAGCCCAATAACACCCCTAACTGGTGAGCCTCCAACTCCAGCACCTCTTCCCCAAGGCACACTTCAGTGAAGTGCTGCCGCAGATAGCGCTGAGCGTGATCGGCCAACTCCTCTGCCCCTAGATCCCGGGCATAATAATAGATTCCCAGGCAATTGGAAGCATCCATGTTGTCAATCATGTAGATCTGACAACGACTAAACACATCGTCCATTTGTAGAAGAAAAGCAGCAACAGAGATGCCCTGCACATTGGCTGCAGTGAGTGGAAGATTGGCGCTGTACATGTATTCTAGCAAAAGGGCCAGGCTTTGTGCCGGCATGTCTCTTAACTCCACTTGACGGTTGGTACACTCGCGCAGGCCACAAGTGAACATTACGCGGAAGTATGGACTGAAGGCAGAAAGCACCGCACGGTGGCATGGGAAGCTAACACCCTCAGCGATTAGAACCACGTCTGTTAGCTGCTCAGCATCCCGCATTCGGTTTAGCTGTTCCAACAGCATCAAACCATGCTTGGCTCTCAGATCCATTTAGTTTTAGTTTTTTTTTTGTCTTGATAGCTTAACTTGAAGAAGTGTTAGTCTTAGCCTAAATACATCCTGGAGGTCCTTAAAAGAATGTCAAGGAACATGCATCTGAAGAGATAAAAAAAAAATATTTTTTAGAAAATGCAGCTAATGTTAGGGCACCCTCAGTAATCCACATAACTTTAAAGCTACACTGTGTGATTTTTAGCCCCATCTAGCGGTGAAAAGGTATATGACCATCCAGTGAATTTTAGTTTCTGTTACTCTCAATTCCGATTTCGTTTTAACTCCTACGGTGGCCAATGTAGTCCAAGATTAACATGGCTTGCAGTTCGACCTCGTCCATGAGTGTTAACTCAAACGTAAACGTGGAAGGCGAAGCTTGAATTAATGGGTATGTCCCTCTTTGGCTAATGTACTTTCAAGATGGAGGGGCAACATGGCGACCGACATTAGAACCCCTTACCCGTATGTATTTTCAATGGCATATTATACACTCTCGAGAATACTTTATTACTTGAATGAAGTAAATATACATTAATGAGCACATATATTTTTGTAATAACTAAGTGTTTTTAGCTAAGAATAAACTAAAAGAGTTACACAGTGTAGCTTTAAAGAAAGTTCATTTTAATGCATCAATAATTTTATCTTGCCCTAAGGGTCAGTGCTAAACAGGTCAATGCTCCAACATGTCAACAAAAAGACAGTTATTGTTGTATCAGTCACAATATTGGCAACAAGCGAAGTCTATCGCATTATATTAGCACATGCATCGATGAATCGTACCAAATCTCTGGGTTCCTGTGGTGTCTGCCTTCAGGCAACAATTCGTCCATTACCCACACTCGACACAAACACGCTTACTGCTTTGCGTCTGCCAGTAAACACTGGGAGAGGGAGCATGCTCTCTACTCAACCTTCCATGGCCATTCCCACCAAGCAACAGTGCTAAAAATAGACCATGATATGTAATCTTACTGAAGGGAAAAATACTCAACAAGTTTACTTGATCAATGAAGATAACTTAATATTACAGCTTGTGTAGAAGTTGTTTTTTTGTGTAATTGCCACTTTACTTTCCAATGCTTATGTGTTTGTAATTATCTCATGGAATCTGGGTAAAAAGCCCTCAGTACATGAGAGATAAGGTCAAATTTCACCCCATCATGCTCTTAAAGAGACCACACAATCTATGTGTAAGCAATTTAACAGTTACTTTTGATGCAATAATGGATATTGATACTTTATTTCTTTCTGTGTGGTATCAATGTTTTGATGAAGCAAATATAGAACTATATTTGATTCGATTAAATATTTCTTAATTGTAAACAATATAAAACTTTTATACTCGATATTATTCCAAATTAATTAAATTTTTTATGTTAAGTGTTTTTTTGTTAAGTTTGCTTTTGAAACTCTGCAATGTGCCATGCTATTGCATGCAAATATACCTTTTGTTGTTTTGGGGATGTAAAGACTTTTAAAGGCAGTAAAGACTAGAAGGTCAACTGTTTTATTTATTTATTTATTTATTTATTTATTACAAAATTTCCCCTGAACTTGTACTGTGCCAAACAGACAGATATCTTAAAATAGCCCACCTATGCCTCCGATTTCTTTCAATGTAAAAATAGGACCACAAGTGTAATCGGTACAAGTCAGAGGCCTACAGTACTCAATTATTAATATATTAACCACAGATGAGAGCTGTTAAACCTTTAACCCTGCCTGCACTAACTCCCCATTCCATTTATTTAAAGCCATTTTAAGGACCACTTCATGTGTTGCAAATTTACAGGATGAATGATGTCAAAACATCTCTTCCTGTCCTGTTTGAGTTATTAATTCATAATATGCTGCACATCACAATGGAATTTTCTACTGGAAAAGAAAAAGTTTCCATTGCAGTTTACCTTAGAGTGCACAAAGTAGCTACTAATGAACACTGGAGGAAAGTCTGAGTCAGCATTTGCACTAAAATATGACAAGAGTTGAGAGATAACGATCAGGGCTTTTTTATAATTACATTTTTCTAAAATTACTATTATGACATGCACATTGGCAATATTGTTGTTAGCTTGTTTTGCTCATTTGATGCTTCTGAAATTGTATGTATCCATTAAAATTAGTACATGCTATTACTTGTTCTGAAGTTAATGATTAGTAGAAAGCACAGCTTCAACCAACCTCATTATCTCTCCTTTTAAATA